GCTTTTGGCCTGTTTAAATGGGCCTAACACTTGGCCTGATTTCTATCTAATTTATGCACTATTTAAATACAAGTATTAAATATAAAGCTAATCTATGACCAACTTGATTCACAATAAAATATCTCCAACAATCTCCCCCTTTGTGATCAAGTGCCATTCTCTTATTGCTTCTGTGATTTGAAGTAGTGCTTCCTCAAACCAAGTGCATGTTCATACTGCCTCAGCATATTTCTCTTTTCGAGGCGATCGTCAATGGCCTTTAAAATTTTCTCTACAGTAGAGTGTTCCTTTTGAACATAAGACGATGCCTCTTGAAGATTTTCTTCCAGCTTTGCCTTCATCTGTAGAATCTGCTCTCTGATTATCTTCAGTGTTCCGTCGCAGTACTTCTCGATTTCACTGACTACCATCAGACGCTTTTCGTTCTTGTGGTTCAGATAGGTGATTGCTGGCGGTGTGAAGAAGATGTGGTAGGCTGGGAAATCTTCAAGTTCTGGACCATACAGTTTTGGCTTTGTCAGATTTGTCTTCTTCAGATTGCATTCAATAGCCATCTGTAGGTCATGTGAAGAATGTACTCGGATTTGTCTGAGCATGAATCTCTTGATAGCTGCGAGGCCTTCGCTGTATACTATACTCTGCCTGACTGGAAGGTATCTGTAGGCCATGAGCATTTGGTAGATATCATCTGGTTTCAGCATGATGAAGTCGTTCTCTTGACAAGTGAATTCGCTCCCATCGGTGCGTTGAAGTCTGTAAGTGTAGAATGTTACTCCATGATAGTCTTCAGCCTTCACTTGTAGTATTTGATGAATCGGGAGAATATTCGACTTCAGATCTTGTTCCATTAGTTCTCTCTGTGTACCAGTTGACCTTTGCAGCAACATATGCAGATGACCTCCAGCCTGCTTTCCTTTCAAGTGAGTAAGGCCTCTTAGCTTTAGTTCGTTCAGTGGCTTGACTTTGTCTGGTCTACGCCAGATATGCTTTCTGATTTCTTCTTGGAAGGGGGCTTTGATGCGAACGTTGTCCCAGGGTTTCTCTGTCTTGGGAAGTCTTCCCGCTGATTGTCTTACGACCGATTCAACATCTTTCTGGGATTCCTTGTAGTTCTCCCCTTCCTTGCGTTCATCGTCCTCGAGCCTAATGATATCTTCAGAGCATTTGTTAATAAGCTCTCGTAGCCACCAGTTTCTTTGCATGTCCTCTTGTTCAGCCTCATTCCGAAGATCATCCCATTCTGTCCATTGTCTCGGCCATTTGTCGTATATCACCGCCTCCTCCAGTGCATCATGGATGTCTTTGCCTGGGGGGATGTATGGAACTCTTTGCTGCTTTTGAGGCGGTGATTGTTCCTTGGTAGCTCTGCCGGGTTCACTTGGATTGCCCGTTGACATCAGCTTAGAACTAGGTTCCAACTGATGGCCTGATGTGAAGGATGTACCAGTGGTAGCATCATCAGGACTTCCATCCCCTCCTCGAACAGTATCTCTGGGAGATACGCCTCGGGATGTTTTGTCTAGCTCGACCACGCTAGAGAGATAGGCTTGGTTTTGGCAAGTGGAGGGTGGTGGTTGGTTGATGAAAGTCTCAGGTTGTTCGGTTTGGGGGCTATGAGTGGTAGAGGCACCTTGCTCGAGTATCTGTGGCCTCTTGTTCTCCCCCTCATGAGGTTCCGGATCATCGGGATCCTCATGTGAACGTTTGCGACCACGGGGACTTTCACGGCAGGTGCCCTTAGTGTCCGGATTAGCGAGAAGGGCAGTAAGGACGCCTTGCTGGTAGGGAGTGAGGTCAGTGTGGGGTATGTTTAGGAGATGATCTAGCAAGATCGATGCCAAGACTTCGAAGGGTTGGGATAGTAGTTCGATGGGAGGTGTGGTCGGGTGTGGGGATGATACTTGTTCTGTATCATGGGTTCCCCGAGAAGAGATAGGGCTATGGACTTTGGTGGAGGTGGCGGAGATGACTGGAGAGGTTTGAGATTTGGAATGAGAAGGTGATGGGTGTGGTTCAGGCTGACTGTGTTCACTATGCACTGCCGGGGTGGTCTTGGATTCTTGTGCCCAAGCGGTAAATGCTTGTTGCACCCATGGCTTAATGGTGGAATCCAAGAAACGGTGCATAAGAACGGTGACGTCTTCGGTAGTGAGGTGTTCAGTTACAGGGGTTGTAACTGTTGTCACATCATCAATGAAGAGAGCTGATGTGTGGCCTGCATTCAATGATGGAGTCATTGTGGGCGTAGCAGGGCTTCCGACCGTCATCGTTGGTACTCTGGTCGTTGCTTCCAGGGTGTGTGCACCTGTATGTGCGGTGAATAGTGTAGGTGTCCTAGAAAAATTAGAAAATGTAGGGAGTGTGACACCTAGACTCGATGTGCTCAAGGAAGTGGTGGTGACCTCGGGCTGTTGGTCACTAATTCGCTCGACTGGTTCGGAGGGAACCAGAGAGGTGGGTGAGTCCCGCTGTTTTGAAACAATAGCCTGTTGGGAGGCTATCGAGTGGCTGGGAGAAGGTTGTGCTTGCGCAGTTGAGCCAGATGCTGCGACTTCTACCCGGGAACCGAAAAGATCGGCTCCTGCACTTAAAGATTCAGCTCGGCTTATATTAATGGAGGGTTGACAATCGGCGAAGATATGCATTTCGTCCTCGTCAACAAGGTGTCTTTTGACGAGGCGTCGCTTCTTGGAGTTGAGTGACTGTGGAGCATCATTTTTCGCTTTGATGCGCTGCTCCCCGACGATGCCGGTAGCACTTGCTATATTGTGATTGGCCGCCGTGGTTTTGATGACGAGCTCTTTGGGGCGTGTAGCAATAACGGGGGCTGCATCCTCAGCGGTGATTTTCTTCGAAGGAGATTCAATAGGCAGCTTACCCTTTCGGATGAGAGCAAAAGTGTGGTCCACATCGTCAACATCATCGTCATCATCATCATCATCGTTGTCACTTCTGGCCACGCTATCGGAAGCCTCGTCGTCAGCCTCTTTGTGGGCCGAGCTGAGCGAGTCATCAGCAGATTCCTCAGCGTTCGTCGGTTTGCCCTCAGTTGTCCGAGTCCTCTCGAGAGATTCATCGGACTCTCCTTCATTGGGCCGACGTGCCAATTAGGTTTCTGATTACGTGACAAATCATTCTGAGGGGGAGAGTGGTCCACATGCTGTTAACACTGAACAAATCATTCTGGGACACTTCACTCCTCCATCACAAAATTCAACACCCTCTCTACTATCTCCGCAACTCAAATCAAATGGTCAGCTACACTCACAAATCAACTATCATTATGTTCCGCTGTGCCACCGACAAGTTCTCCTCAAATGCATTCATTCCAAATAGTCAAAAAGACTACATTGTGGAGGAGACAGAGGTCAAATACTCGTGTCCTGAAGATGAATTCCATGGGCGTCTCCTATTCTCCAAAGAATATTCATTCTAGAGGCGTCACCGGACTTCATCCAAGCTGATCAAGAGCAACTTCATGTGGCTACGTGACAAATCCTTTGTCTTTGAACTTGACTTCTGAGGAAGGCTATCTGAAGAAATCCTTGCAATCTCCCCTTTGATGTCTTCTTGACAATTTGATCTTTGATGCCGGGGGTTGAGGGACCTTCTGTATCTTGCATGTAATCCTTGCCTTCCAGAAGTTGCTCTTGATCAGCTTGGATGAAGTCCGGTGACGCCTCTAGAATGTTGCACTCCCCCTAAAATGTTGCATCCTTTGAGAGATTCCTTGCTTTGTCGGTGTAGGGCGCCAGGAGGAGAAAACTGAAACTCCCCCTCAGAATGTGCAAGGTTTGATTGCTCACAGCTTGTCATACCCGCCATGTGTGTGGAGCAATCTAAACATGTACCACACATGACGGTTTCCCTGAGCTCAACATGTAAAGCTTCGATGAACTGCAAAGGATGTCAAGATTCGAATTATGAGTTCCAAGAAACTGCAAACTTTGAAAGATTCAAAACATCGAGAAATTTTGAAAATCTCGAAATCTTCAGAATGTCGAGATCCAATACATCGAGATCCCAAATTTCGAAATCCCAAAACTCGAAATTCCTAAACTCGAAATTCCAAATCTCGAGATTACAAATCTCGAGATCTTGATTTCGAGATTCAAATCTCGAGATCTTGATTTCGAGATTCAAATCTCGAGATCAGGATTTCGAGATTCAAATCTTGAGATCTTGATTTCGAGATTCAAATCTCGAGATCTTGATTTCGAGATTCAAATCTCGAGATCTTGATTTCGAGATTCAAATCTCGAGATCAGGATTTCGAGATTCAAATCTCGAGATCAGGATTTCGAGATTCAAATCTCGAGATCAGGATTTCGAGATTCAAATCTCGAGATCTTGATTTCGAGATTCAAATCTCGAGATCTTGATTTCGAGATTCAAATCTCGAGATCAAGATGTCGAGATGCAAATCTCGAAATCAAGATTTCGAGATTCAGATCTCGAGATCAAGATGTCGAGATGCAAATCTCGAGATCAAGATGTCGAGAAGAGGAAATCGAGTCCCTAAATGTCGAGATCCTGCAAAACGAAAACATTGATTTTTGAAAATCTGAAACCTGTTCTGAATAGCCCTGAAAGTCGAGATTCTCCTGTATCAGTTTCAAGCCAAAAACGTTTCTGCAGCAGTGAAAAAAAGAAGATTTCGAGATCTCAATGTAGAGATCTTCGAAAAACAAAAACTGCAGAAAACGAAAAAAGAGGTATGCTGCTGGATCGGTTTTGAAAGGCGAATCCAACAGTATGATTTTTACAAAATTTCGTTCACAAACGAGATTACAGGAGCAAATCTCTACATGTAGAAAAACAGAAGAAAAAACAGAGTAGTTCTTCGTTAGATCCAAAAAAATCGCAGATAGATCCAATCTGTTTCACGCCTCGGCTCTGATACCAAATGTTAGTCCCAGAATTCTAACAATCATACAACCATAGCATTGATAAAGAAGCAGATAGAAAGAAATCGACAAGATTGAACGTGAATCTGGTATACCGTATGAATCTGCCGCTACTCTCCCTGGAGAAGGAGAGCAGCGGCAACCTAATTTCTCTCTATCTCTACGCCTCTGCGTCTCAGCCTCTCACGATCAGTAGGGTTCCCGTAAGTTAGCCTCCTTTTATAGGAGAAGTTGGCTAACTTACGGGTTACAAGGAAGCCCACGGGCTGATACACATTTGTGGCCCGTATTACACGTTTAATTAATAACTACACAAATACAAAGATAACTAACTAGATTGAACACCATAAAATATTCCCAACATTGACAGTTGGGAGAGGATCATAGGGGTCGTGTGTCGGCAGTTCTAAGATGGATCGGAAAGTAGAGGGCGTCAGGATTATGCGCATGCTGTTCAGCTTGGTCATGATTTTGGTGCGGTCTTTAGGTGACGATGTATGCATATGAACCCAGAATTGCTGCAAGTATATCTCTGGCACTGATTTGGCGTTGTGGAGTGCGGGCCAGAGATAGTGGCTCCTCATGATTGCTGGGATGACGGGATCCTGACACTTGAACACAGTCAGGTCCAGCTGGTAGTTGTTGTCCATCACTTTGATCCATTTCTCCCTTGGGTAGATGGTGTCGTCAATCGGTGCCTGATTTGTGCCTGCCATAATGAACTGTAGAGACATGGGGTCAGCACATAAGTTCTTTTATTTTTGGTTGGGTTCTGAATTTGCTGATGTTTTTGGATTTTTCAAAAATGGGGTTCAGGTGGAAGTTGCCAAAAAAATTAAGGCAAAATCTCGAGATCACAATCTCGAGGTTTAAATCTTGAGATCAGGATCTCGAGGTTTAAATCTTGAGATCAGGATCTCAAGGTTTAAATCTCGAGATCAGGATCTCGAGGTTAAAATCTCGAGGTTAAAATATCGAGATCGAGATCTCGAGATTTAAACCTCGGGATCTCGATCTCGAAATTTAAAAATCGAGATCTCGATCTCGAGATTTGAATCTCGAGATCTTGATCGCGAAGATGAAACGACGAGATCGAGAAATCAAGATTAAACCTCGAGAAAACGAAGTCAAGAATAGGAGATGAGGCATCATTCCCAAATCTGACATTCCCTCCGTAGCCTATTGGTGTAGTTGCTCAAAAAGTGTTTCAATCCGGTCATGTGGGTTGAGCATCCAGAATCTAAGTGTCACACATGACCGCCCTGCAAAACAGTTAAGCAGTTTTAGGTACCCTCCTTAGGATGGGTCCTTCCTTATTAATCAAAAACGCCTTTTTGAATCTTTCTTTTAGCTGTGATCTAAGGTCAGCAGCTTTTCACCAAATGATTTTTCTTTTGTGGGTTCTGTAATAGCCAGCCACGCTTGTGCAGGTTGTCTGGTTTTGGGAAGCCACTTTAAAGTTTCAGTTTTAGTGGGTCCGTTTTTGGAGACCCACCTAGCAATTTCAGTTTTGGTAGGCCCATTTTTAGGGACCCACTTAGCAGTTTCAGGTTTAGTGGGTCCGTTCTTGTGGACCCACTTTGCAGTTTCAGATTTAGTAGGTCCGTTTTTGGGGACCCACTTTTGTTTGGTGGTGGGAGAAGTGTAGACATTAGCCTTGTGATTGAATGGTTGTTTGGTGAGTTGGGACTTGAAAATTTTCTCTTTCGAGAGTCTGTTCAAATGTTTCTTAGAGTGGACTTTGAGGGGGTATTTTAGATTTGGAAGACAGAAAACTCCCTCAAAAGTTCTACTCTCATTTTCTTTTCTTTGCTTGGCCTCTCTCCGAGGTTGCACCTTAACAACATTCGAATCACATTCAAATATATGGGGGTCAAGAACAGAATATCCATAAGCAACAGTTGAATTATAAGAAGCAGATTGTTCAAAAGACAACACAGAATTTTTCAGCTTAGGACTCAATGCTGAATTACTGACAGAATGTTTGACTGGAACAGAACTACATTTTTTCTTAAAATAAAAAAGAGAACTGGAACAAGAACTGGACTTCTTCAAAAAGTTTCTTCTTTCCTTCGACAATTTCTTTTCTTTTTAGTCTCCACTCTTCCTTCTTCCCTACTCCCTTTTTCACTTCTTGTTTTGTGAACAAAGGAGAACAGAGATGAGTGGATTTTCCTATTGAAAGTTTATGTTGATTTTGTGAGATGAGAGTCTCCTTCTGTTCAGAAGAACTGGTTGTGGGAGGAGTTACTTTTGAGTGAAATTTTTCGCTTAATTGATTAAACTCACCCAAAAGTATTTCCCAATTACTTTCAAAACTTTTCTTCTCTGATTCAAACCTTTCTCTTTCATTATCAAGTGTGTTCTGCAAATCCTTAAGTTTTTGTGCCATTTTAAAGATACAAGGTTCTTTTCCAAATTTAGAGATACCAACCATTGGCGGGTGGGTCTAAGGGATGTCCCAGATTTGGTACATCCTTCACAATGGCATAAGGATCCACACACTCATTAGTAGAAAATCGTTCCCCTTCGCCTGTAAGGCTTTTTTCATTTAAAACAGCATAATTGAAAGAAGTTTCAGTTTTTGGGTTCTTTCTCTTTTCTTCTTCTTCTTCAGCATTTTCCTTTTCACCGGTATAATACATTTTCTGACCATATCCTAATCTCATGTGATCTAAGTCATAAAGCTGAATGAAATCAACTTTCTTTAGATAGTATGGATTAGATATGTCAAGCCCGGATCTGGGATTATAATACCGGTCATCACTAATTTGATTTAAGAAAATTGTTTGTTCTGATTGACCTCTCGTAGCAATCAAATCTTCAAGTTCTTTGATTTTGCTAAAAAGAGTATTTCTTTGATTATCAAGAACGTTTTTGTCAGCTTTTTCTGAACTTAGTTCTATCTCAGTTTGAAACACTTTATCAATTAGATCAGCAACCTTGAGTGTTAGCTCATCAATTTCAAGTGTCATCTTTTTGGCAACCTGATTTTCATTTTCAAGTTGTATGTTTAAGGAGGCTTTCTGGTCTAGACACCTAACAAACTCATGGTAGTTATTGTCTAACTTCTCCCTTAGATCATTAATTAAGTCATCCTTATCTTGTAAGGATTGACCTTGATTAGAACAAGCGCATTGAGAATCAGAAGTACTTACCGTGCTATTCGAGCACTCACTTTCGGGGATCGCAGCATCACCCTTTTCTTCTTCTTCATCCTCCAACAATGCCATCAGCGCATAGTTCTCCTCTTCCTCTTCATTAGATGAGCCCTCAGCCCCTTTGTTAGTTTATTCGCGTATTATTCACGTATAATACATTCAAACGTATAATTTGCGTATAATACTTCCGTTTATGAATTTTTCAGAAAATACTTAAAAATTCACGTACTTCAAGGATAAAATGTATAATACACGTACCGTACGTATTGATATATATTTTATTAAAAAATATCATTAAACTGAAGCCTAATGGAGTGATACAACTGAAGTGAAATGTTTAGTTGCCCAATACTATTTAAAATGCTTAAAAACTATTATGACTTATATGTTTGTTAATTGTTCAATAGTCATCAGTTTTAATAAATTAGCTTCTTAAATTCATAATTCGTTTTTATATTACTATTGTTACTCTTATTCTCCACTCATACCAAAACTCCAAAGAGAAAAGAATATTATGACGGCTCACCAAATTTACGGTCACAATAATATAAACTATTCTCTAGAAATATTTCTCTACTTCTACACAAATAGGCAATATCATTTTTATTATTTATTGTACTATGAATTAAAATTCATATATCTGAAAACCAATTCCGTACATTTTAAACTGTTGAAGAATGTAATGCATATGCTAAATTACTCTTTATTCTCATCATTAAATTAGTATATAAGACATGTATTATATGCCGTATTTTTAAATTGTGAAACGTTTAAAACACGTTCGTATCTTTATTCATTTCACGAACGTATGAAACATATATTTAGCCGTATTTTATATAATTGTATCGTATTATACACGAACGTACGTATTATTGTATTATTCACGAACCGTATAATACTAATGAAGCTCAGCCCAATGATCATTCTCAGCAAGCAGTGGTGCATTCTCCTCTTCCTTTCTAGCCAACAACAACTTTTGTTTGTTCCAGATTATCTTCTATCTATAGAAGTTGACGTCCTTTTTCTTGGGAAGGCGACAGTCCTTCTGTAGATGTCCAGACTTTCCACAATTATAGCATTTGGGAGATTCATCAGCTGCAGCTGCTCTGCCAGAGCTGCTTTGATCAGGGGTCTTCTGTTTGTAGTTAGAAGAGGAGGTTCTCAGCTTATTTGAGGAGTTGTTCTTCTTTCCCCACTTTTTGGTCAAGAGTGCCATTTTCTTCTGCAACTCTGCCATTTCCTTCTCAAAGTCCATTTCTTCTTCGCCTTCCTCTTCTTCAGACTCAGTGACAGCCTTCTTTTTCTTCTTCAGGACCTTCGCGGACCTCTTTGGTTGTGCCTCCATTACAAGAGCTAATGGATCAGTTGAATACTATCCTTCTAGTTCTGGAGCATCACTTTCGAATGATTTCAGATGGTCTCTTAAGGTACAGAGGTCCACTTCATCTAGGTCCAGGCCTGTTCTTGCATCTTTCACATGATTTCTCCATTCAGGATTCAGACTGGACATATATCTAATATTCATCTCCATATTGGATTTGAATATTTTGAGCTTTCTAAGTTCATTAATCAGTGTCATGAATCTCTTGTGGGTTGAAATGAGTGATTCACCAGGTAAGGCTTTAAATGAGTCACAGGCTGTCAGAGTACTGGTCTTTTTAGTCTTTAGTCCGATGGATGATCCCCGCAACAGCTTTGCAACTTCATCTCACATTTCCTTCGCAGTCTGCATACTGTCAATCATAATGTAGATATCATTGGGAATGGCCTGCGGCAGGTATGTTTTGACAGTGAGATCGGCCTTCAATCTCTCTGTCCTCTGTTGTGTATTCAGTGGGAGTTTTGATCCATCTGACTTGTTCGATTGGCGGATTGTTGTTCTCATTCCCCGGGATAGTTATCCACAGTTCTGCAGGGCCTTGAGTGAGGGATTACAGCAATGCAGAAGAGTTATCCCAATTTTCAAGAAAGTTTAGAAATCGAGTCTTCCACATCTGGTATTCCCCATTTCTCAGTACTGGGGGATTGTTGCTGTTACCAAGTGCTGATGAGTCGGTTGCCATTGCTGTTATAAACTGACCGTTCGAGATTTGATCAGAAAAAAAAATTCTAAGGCAGAACCTCGAGATCCTGAAAATCGAAGATCAACCTCGAGATTTAAGATTTCGATATAAGGATTTCGAGATTAAGATGTCGAGATTTGTCTTTCGAAATTTCAAATGTCGAGTTTTGATCTCTAGATTTGAAATGTCGAGATTTATACTTCGAGATTTTAGATTTCGAGATATCAAAAGTCGAAATCTAGATGTCGAGATCTAAATATCGAGACCCAAATGTCGAGTTCCGAAAGTCGGTATCCTCATAGTCGAGATCCTGCAAAAAGAAAAATTCGAGTTTTCAAGATCTGAAAGCCGTTTCCTGTACTTCTGGATGTCGAGATCCTCCTGTGAAAATTTTAGCTCAAAAAGCTAAACAGAACCTGCAGAAGAGCTAATCTCGAGATCTATATGTCGAGATCTTTGAGAATGAAAAATAGCGAAAAAGAAGGATCTAAGGTATACTGCTCGATCGTTATGAAAATGTGATTCTAACATTATAACTTTTACAACATTTCGACTAGAAACAAGATTACAGATGCCAAAGTCGAAAATACAGATAAACGAAAAAAAACAGCAGAGTCTTTCGTCGTTCTTGTCTGATTAGTTCTCGATCGGCTCTGATACCAATTGTTTGTCCGTGTTTATATGATTACAGCAATATAACGATACTCAAAGATAAGAATAACAGAAAGATAAACGTTGGAGATCCTTAAACTCGTCTTTGATATACCGTGAACTTCTACAGTAAGAATGATAAGCTCAAAGGCTGTAAAGATCGAATGCAAAAGTTGACGCAAACCTAACCCTTAAGCGTCTTTTTATATGCGCGGGTAGGTTTGCGTACAGGCTTTACGTCTGGTATATGGGCCAGACATTTGGGCCCCATACCTTGTACTACTCTAATAAATACAACAATTAATACAATCAATGAGTAATAAAGGCTATACTAATACAAGACTCTTGACAAACTTGATACACAATAAAAGGGATGATGGTCAGATAGGGCCTCGAACTTGGGAAAAAATGTCAAATAAGGCCATATTTAGGATGCTCTGTCCGGCCGACGCCATTTGGGGCGGTTTCCGGTGGAATTTTTTGATGATTTTTTTTTGAAAATCTTATTCATTAAGTCTAGTTTACCTATATCAAATTTGAACTAAAACTTCAATCGGGAAGGCATTCAAATGAATTCCTGAAGATAACTGCTCTTTTAAGTGCGCAGTTATCTTCAAGAATTCATTTGTATGCCTTCCCGATTGAGTTTTTAGTTCAAATTTGATATGAGTAAACTGGACTTAATGAATAAGATTTTCAAAAAAAATCATCAAAAAATTCCACCGGGAACCGCCCCAAATGGCGTCGGCCGGACAGAGCATCCTAAATATGACATTATTTGACATTTTTTTTCAAGTTTGAGACCCTATTTGACCCTTATCATACAATAAAATATTCTGCAACAAACTTTTACCCCCTTTTTTTCTCCAGCTCTTCTTCCTTGCACTTCACTTTTCCCTTTCTACCTTCATTCAGTATCTCAGTTCGAAGTATTCGCCGTAACTGGAGTAACTAAATCCTTATAGAACTCCAAGTTAATTACATTCTCTCCAATTCATCGGTAAGTAATGGGGAAAATTGTCAAATAGGTCATCGAACTTTCATAAAAGGGTCAATTAAGTCCTTCTATAGGAGGTTCTGTCCGGCCGTCGCGATTTGGGGCAGTTCCCGCTGAAATTTTTTGATGAAAATTTTTTAGCATCTTATTCACCAAGTCTAGTTTACTCATACCAAATTTCACCTAAAAATTCAATCGGGAACACATTCAAATTAATTCTTGAAAATAACTGCGCATTTTTACGTTCTCGAATTAATTTGAATGCGCTCCCGATTAAATTTTTATCTCAAATTTGGTATGAGTAAACTAGACTTGATGAATAAGATGCTAAAAAAAATTCATCAAAAAATTCCACAAGGAACCGCCCCAAATCGTGACGACCTGACAAAGTCTCCTATAGAAGGACTTAATTGACTTTTTTATGAAACTTCGAGGACCTATTTGACAGTTTTCCCTAAGTAATGTGTTCCAGTTTCAATTTTATCTATTCTACATATCTACTACGATTATATATACATATCTTAAATATTCCATTTGTTTTATAATTTAGTTGTTAGGATTGGAAAATTCTTCTATTCAATATCAAAAACAGAATTACAATAGGAGGAACAAACTCTCACACTCAACTATTACAAAAAACCAATCATCACCAATACACTTCTACTCTAAGTGTATTTCACTTGTTACACACTTTTCTCACTTTCTAAACTGATGATAATGAGCAACAATACACTCCCTATTTATAGGGCTGGTTTGGAGACAAGAGGTAGTGCTTCCATCTTCTCCATATCTTCTTCCCATTTTCATTTGTTGGAGAGCTCCTTCCAAGAAGGTGTGAGATGCCTCTTGGCAACTTCCAAGAAAGAAGTTGGAAATTCTCTACAAATCCCCCCCTCCACTTTTTTCTTTATTTCTCTCGTTCCTGCGGTGCTCGCTGGCTCCCCCTCACTGGCAACAAGTATCCATTCGGATGTGGAATACTTTCTCTGTGGAACTATGCCTCGCATAGAACGTCGAACATGAGTACCTTCAGCTTCGTCTTCAGATGAAGGCTCCCCCTGCTGAGGAATATCATCACTGTGATCATCATCATTACCTACTGAACCATCACTCTCTTGCTCAGTAGTATCATACATCTCCTCGTTGCTGAGAGGAATGTTTGATGATACAGGGACTTCGTCTTCTGGAGTATGTTGTTTGCGGATTATTGGAGCACACTCATGAAACTCGTTTTCATGAAATACAACATCTCTGCTTCGTATAACTTTCTTCACTTCGGGATCCCACAATCGGTATTCGAATTCTTCATCTCCATAGCCGATGAAAATGCATGGATTTGATTTGAGATCAAGCTTCTGTCTCAACTCCTTGGACACATGTGCAAATGCCTTGCACCCGAACACTTTCAAGTGAGAGTAAGAAACATCTCTTCTTGCCCATTTCTTCTCTGCCACTTCAAAGTTTAAAGGAACAGAAGGTGACATGTTTATAAGATAACAAGTTGTCAGCACAACTTCACCCCAGAATGGCTTCGGTAGTTTAGCCGTACTCAACATGCAACGAACTTTCTCCACAATGGTTCTGTTCATTCTTTCGGCTACACCATTGTGTTGTGGAGTTTGTGGAACCGTCTTCGAGTAAATTCTCTAAATAGGAGTAAAAAAGTTTTGAAATTCCAAAATAGGAGTATCATGTTTTTTATTCCCTAAATAGGAGTAAATTTCTGCCAAGTTTGACATTACTAGGCTTTTAAACATGGCATTTTGTTCCAAACTTGGCAGATTACTCCTATTTAAGGAATAAAAAACATGATACTTCTATTTTGGAATTTCAAAACGTTTTTACTCCTATTTAGGGCAATTTCTATTTAAAATACTTCAATCTTTGTTAGAATGCAGTTAACATTCTAAAATTTTATTTGGAAATAAATAATATTACATCCTGTTTAACTTAAATCTAATTGCATCCTCATAAATGTTTTGTGTATTTTAAGTTATGTATTTATTTTAGGTTTGAGCTAATCTCACACTCATCTAAAGTAACAGAGACCTATTGTTTTTCTAGAATATAAGTGACTTAAAATTTTATACATGTGACTACAATTATTATAATCATGATCATTACAATATAAAATTAAATTCAACAAATATCATTATCACTAAATGTTACTTATATAATAATCACTTTAATACAAAGTCACATTTTTGCAAACGATCTTCATTACTTTAATTATATACGGTATGTACTACCTCCGTCTCAAAAAATTCTTTCCGCTTACCTTTTTGGGATGTCATAAACAATTCTTCCCATTTCACTCTTTGGAAAGGTTGGTCCGATTATCCTTCATTTACCCTTTTTTCTCGATCACAACCATACATTTTCATTCTATTTTCACTTTCTTAAACTTCCATCCAAATCAAACAGAGAACAATTTTCGGGTAGAGACTAATTATTTAGGATATTATTTGAGTTTGTTATGCGTTCAAGTAGAACCTTCTAATATCAAGGTCTTCAGCAGTTTCGCGTCCAAATATTTTACTTCCCTCGAAAATGAAAATAATTCATGGGGTAACGACTTACTACCCACATTCAGAGTGCCTTTCTCCGTGTACGCACTACATACTAACTGACTCTGCTTCCGATATCTGTGCAAGAAGCCAAATCGAGTGTCTCGTGATCTCGTCCGTGACTCCATCATTTCAATGTTCTGTCTCCGCAGTTTATGTATATTATATGTTCATATATGCTTATATATGAATCTACAAAAACATCTAAGGCTATGGTTTTCGTCCCCAGAGAGGAACAATTCAATCTTGCCTTAGAATCAAGTTTTTTGTCCTATTTCAGTTCCACCGATTCCTTTAGTACTTTCATTGAAATTTTCCCTGATCTTGACCTTGCCAGTGCTTATTGCAAATGTTTTAAAATTCAAGTCATGATGTTTAAATATCAGTTATTTAAAGACCTAACCATCCTTGGTTTTCAAGAAACTGGTGTTGCTTTCATCAGTTATTGATTGCTACACATTGGGTCATTGTGGGGCTGGTCTTGCCTTGTGACAATGAGTTATTTTGTTGCTACTTAATAATTGTCTTTTCCTACTTTTGGTCTTATTATTGCTGAAAGATAAGATCTTTTTTTATTATTGGTTGTATATAATAAGATGTAGGGATGGTTTACCACTGCTGTATAGAAAAGATTCTTTCTTTGAAAGTTTTAGTGCAATAAAATATATTCTTGAGGTACATACTGTTCAGATTTCTTTTCTTCCTTTCACTTTGTATTGAAAGATTGGAGAAGTAGTATCTTTACAAAGAATTAAGATGAGGTGGTTATTAGCGTTGGGAGGGGTTGTTTTTTCAGTCATGTGTGGATTTGTTATGAGCAAAGAATGTACTAACACTCCTACAAAGCTGTCATCACACACTGTGAAATATGAGTTGTTTTCATCAAAGAATGAAACATGGAGAGAAGAAATGTTTAGTCACTACCACTTGACCCCAACAGATGATTCTGCTTGGTCTAGTTTGCTTCCAAGGAAGGTGTTGAAGGAGGGAGATAGTTTTGATTGGATGATGATGTATAAGAAGATAAAGAGTTATGGGGGTGGAGCTGTTGGGGGGGTTCTTAATGAGATTTCACTTCATGATGTGAGGCTTCACCCCAACTCAGTGCATGGAAGGGCTCAACAAACAAACTTGGAGTACTTGCTGATGTTGGATGTTGATAGGCTGGTGTGGAGCTTCAGGAAGACTGCTGGTTTGGATACTCCTGGGGAGACTTATGGAGGGTGGGAGGAATCTACTGTGGAGCTCCGGGGTCATTTTGTAGGTTAGTCTTCTTCTTTTTCTGCATCTTTTTTTTATTGAAGTGAAATATATAGATTTCTTTTGCAATCATGGCCTCTTATTGGTTTCTTCTTTCTTTTACATCATCAATGTCTTTGCAAAAGTTACTTTTTCTTTAATCATGTATATCTCATGCTCCTTATCATTCGGATTCCTGTTTTATATTTTTAGAAAAATAAATACACTTATGATTTATGAAACTAGCAAAATTGGGCTTTCAGTGTCTTGCTAACTGTTTTCGAAATTGTCATGATTAATATACGCTTGACTGCTTTTTAGTTAATTATATAACCTACATTATATAAAAAACAAAAAAAAAACTTAGTGAGCGAGCCAATTTTTTTTTCTTTTGTTTTGTTTTGTTCTTTTTGGTTGATTCTTTTGAAGCCTTTCCCATAACAGATATGCTATAGCTACTATGCTATAGCTAATATGTTTCCGCTTTGTACCTTTCTGTAAAGTTTGCTCCTTCCAAGTCTCTAGGTATCACATAACTAGAGATAAAGGTTTTCAAGTTTACACAACAAAGGAAATATTTCATTTGTATTCAGCACTGTAGTTCTGTATTTTGTATGTAAAGTTTATGCAAATAGAAGTAAAACAGGAATTAGGTGCACAAATATGACTATCCTTATTTTCTACTAAAAATAAGACGAATTCATTCTTAAAAAAAGAATAAAGGCTATTAATGGTTCTTTTTTCAGGATGGTCGAGTAATATGTTTGGGAAAAACAGTGATGTTACTATTTTCATAAATGTGTTAACGTTTTAGTTCTATTTATGGGATTTTCTCTACTTTCCGACTGTATATTTGAATTAAGTGAAGGAATGTTTTTCAGCGTATGATGATATTTGATGTTTCCATACTGATTACTGAAGGGCATTACCTTAGTGCATCAGCACAACTGTGGGCAAGTACACACAATGCCACTCTCAAAAATCAAATGTCTGCTGTTGTTTCTGCACTATCTACCTGTCAAAATAAAATCGGATCAGGTTACTTATCTGCTTTTCCATCCGATTTGTTTGACCGTTTTGAAGCTATAAAACCTGTATGGGCACCGTACTATACCATTCACAAGGTATACTATTATGCTTCACCCCCTTCGATACATATTTGTTTGAGAAGTATTAACCATTTTTCTTGAGATGACAGTAATAACCTCAGTTTTAGGAACTTTTATTTGCAGATTTTGGCTGGTCTCTTGGATCAGTACATTTTTGCTAGTAATTCTCAAGCTTTGAACATGACAAACTGGATGGTTGATTACTTTTATGATCGTGTACAAAACGTGATCTCAAGATATACGATTGAAAGGCACTGGTTATCTTTAAATGAAGAAACGGGTGGGATGAACGATGTTCTTTATAGGCTGTACAGCATTACGGTGTGTATATCTTCTGTTAAGATTCTAGTTCACATTGGAGTGTTCTGTTGGATTGAAATTGCAACTATTCCTCTTTTGCACGCCAGATTCTGTTTTCTAGCATCAATCCTGGCATGGATGTTGTAGCATACTAATTCGCTTGTCACTATTCAAAGTGAACCTTCAAAACACAATTTTACTTCATTAAGTAATCTCACACTGATCAAATATGATATACAAACTTACCTATAAGCTTTTAAACTTTTTAAATGAGTAACCCAGTTAAACTAAAACTATAAAAATGCACATGTATTAAAAGATTGCTTATCTCCATCGAGCAACCATCTTTCGTGGGAATGTTAAGTCGTCTCACACAGTCTATACATTCTCACTTACAAGGTGTTGGACTATGCTTCTTATCAGGCGGACACCTTTCAAGATGCTTCTTAATACATCAATGCTGATAGAGCTTAGAGGTTTAATCTGCTGGGGGGTTGTTATTTATTCTTAACACATCTTGCTTTTGCATAACATGCAGGCTGATCCAAAACACTTGATGTTGGCTCACCTTTTTGACAAACCATGTTTTCTGGGATTACTAGCAATAAAGGTAGCCATAACATCTTTCTCCAAATTCAACTCCAATAGCTAATACTGTATGTTTCTATTGTATATCTCTTTTCAGCCTGTTTACTTGTTGACTTTAGGCTGATAGCTTATCAGGGTTTCATGCAAACACGCATATCCCAGTTGTGATTGGATCTCAAATGCGTTATGAAATAACCGGTGATCCAATTTATAAGGTAATCATACAGATATTTCTAGACTATACTCCCTCTGGTTCTTATTAAAGTTCTCACTTTCCTTTTTGGGATGTCCCTTATTTAAGTTCACACTTCCATTTTAGGAAACAAAACAATGCAAAACAGTGCCAAACAGTGCCAAACAGTGTCCAAACAGTGCCAAACAGTGCCAAACAGTGTCCAAACAGTGCCAAACAGTGCCAAACAGTGCACTCCACAGTAAAGTCAAATTCATTTTCTTAATATGTGTGAAGTCAAACTGGGAACTTTAATACGAACCGGAGGGAGTATATGATTTTCTCTCTTAGGATGTTTTTACTTGGACTGTAATTTGTTGGTCTGGTCTGGTCTAAACTGGTCCGGTCTGGTTTCTTTGTATTTTTATAACTATCCAAGTCTGGTCTGGTCTCGGAGGAATTACAGTCCAAGTAAAAACATCCTTAGAGATTGAATTAAAGCTAAATAATTTTGTGCCAAACCCCTGAACCTTTCAAGAAATCAACTCAGAACATCTTTATAGAATTATGATATTATTTATCTTTTCTATAGAAAAACATTTTATCTTAATTCTATACTTGAATCACTCTATTTTTTACAAGGAAATTGGGACCTATTTTATGGAGATAGTCAATAGTTCACATGCTTATGCCACCGGAGGAACATCAGTCAGTGAGCTGTGGTATGAACAGTGACATCCTTTAAAATATAGTTATTTGTAAACTTATAAGTTTGGTCCATATATAACTTCAGTTGTTGATCAGGTCTGATCCGAAGAGGTTGGCAAGCACGCTTAAGACCGAGAATGAAGAATCATGTACAACCTATAACATGCTGAAGGTTCATATATATATATATATATCTCATGGATTATAAACTTTATATTGCATGTGTATTGAGACAGAGAAACTAAAATGGAGTGGTCTTTTTGCAGGTGTCGAGACACCTGTTCAGATGGACAAAAGAGATGGCTTATGCTGATTATTATGAGAGGGCGTTAACAAATGGGGTTCTTAGCATTCAGAGAGGAACAGAGCCTGGAGTAATGATTTATATGCTTCCCCTACAACCCGGTGGTTCCAAGGCCAAAAGTTACCATGGTTGGGGTACCAAATTTGATTCTTTCTGGTGTTGCTATGGGACAGGTAACTTAAGTCATTTTTCTTCTACTTTTTTTCTGGCAAAATAAAATAAAGAGTAACATTTTTCATACTCATTATTAAGATATAATAATAAAAAAGAAGTGAATCATAAATTTAAATTTATACTCTTTACCTTGGAGTAATTACGTTTTGGCTATTAAACGTTTTAAATCTATTTATTAGACAAATTGGGTCAAATATTTATTTAATTAGAATGTGATCCAACCGAATGAACACTCTTCATACCAAATATTTAATAATAATGACTGAATTGTCAACTTCACCTTTAACTCTGTTTATTACTCACCTTCTTCACTCTTATGTTATTGTTACCCAAGGAATTGAATCATTTTCCAAGTTGGGGGATTCTATATACTTTGAAGAGTACGGAAAAGTTCCAGGACTCTACATCATCCAGTACATACCTAGCTCCATTGATTGGAAATCTGGTCACATTATGCTTAACCAGACCATAGATCCAGTTAGTTCACAGGATAATCGTCTTTGTGTCACCGTAACCGTAACAACGCAGCAGGTATCTCCTTAACTTTATTACAAGACATGAATGAATAAATAATAATTCTATACAATGCAAACTATAATCTTTTTTAAGTGCCTTGATGGTTATATTTTTCATTTATATTTCTTGAACTTAATGATAGGATTGATTATCTTCTGTTGCAAATGCATGTCCTGGGAAACACGATACCGATTACACTAATGTGTAAAAATGAATTAACTGGGAAAAAGTCATTAATAGGTACCTTAAAGATAATATATTTCTTTATTGGAACTTATTTTCTTTGTTCTTATGCATGTCTCCTTAAAAGTCATCTAGTCTACCATCTACATTAAATTTAAGGATACCAACATGGACATATGCAAGCAGTGCAAAAGCATTTCTTAATGGACGAACTCTATCTCTTCCACCACCAGGTAATGAATGAACATTTTTCTGCTATGGATATGATTCTATCTTTGATTTGTTTAATATGACAAATAAATACTTTCTAGTCCTTAAATAACTGCCCAATTTGAATGTCCATAGAGTTTTAAGGAAATGAAAGTTGTGGAGTAAATACTTGCTTAGAAGGGAAAGAAATACTTTGAACCACATATTGCTTTCCTTAAAGAAAAAAGGAAACAATTCTAAGACAAATGAAAAATGAAAGTTCATAGACAATTTAAGGACACAAGGGGAGTACATCTTGTGGTGGAATAATTACTTAAAGTTATTTATATGTTTCATGCAGGCAACTTCCTATCGATTACCAAAAGTTGGACCACGAATGACAAAATTACCCTCGAGCTACCTATGAGCCTTAGAACTGAGGCCATTAAAGGTACCACCTGTGGTTGCATAACAAAAGTATTGCGAAGTTGGTGTTTGTGGAAAGCCTTATTATTAAGAGATTAATTAATTAATTACTTTATGTGGTGAAACTTCTTGTTCTTTAGATGATCGGCCAGAATATGCTTCTATTCAGGCAGTCCTTTATGGTCCATACCTACTAGCTGGTCTTTCCAGTGGTGATTGGGACATTAAAGCTACATCACCATCAGCTTCTCCTTCCACATGGATATACCCCATCCCAACTGACAATTCTGTTCTGGTTACTCTAACCCAAGAATCCGAGAACGACTCTTTCATTGTAACAAACTCAAATCAGACCATTAATATGAAACAATACCCCAAAGCCGGAACAGATTCTGCAGCAAAAGCTACATTTAGGCTCTTTTCAAAAGTCACGTCTAACAAGAAGCTTTCATCACCAGCAGATCTCATAGGGGGAGCTGTCAGGCTAGAGGTATTCGACTGTCCAGGAATGGTAGTGAAACAACGGGAAGATAAAAGCTTGGTAGTTGAGCACTATTCCTCATCGGACGAAAGCACCACCACTTCTGACTTTCTTTTGACTGAGGGATTAGATGGGAAAAACGGGACTGTGTCATTGGAGTCTGTATCCCAGAAAGGTTGTTATTTTAACAGTGGTGCCGACTATGGGCCCGGTTTAGGTGTCAAGCTGAGGTGCATTGATGAGTCCTCACCGGATGCTGGGTTTAAACATGCTTCAAGCTTTAAACTGGAAACTGGGATGAGCGAGTATCACCCCATCAGCTTTGTGGCCAAAGGAACAAATAGAAACTTCCTTTTGGTTCCATTACTTAGTTTGAGGGATGAATCTTATACGGTTTACTTTAACATCACCTTTTGAGGGATGGAGGAATGTTGCTCTTTGTGTGTGTATGAGAGCACGTACTCTATAATTTAATGTTCTACGGAGTATTATATACTGTATTAATTTGAGACGTTTAGTGTTTACTATATAGAAATAATACATACTATATGACCAAAATGAAGATCGTGAACAAAAATGTGATTTAATAACTTTTAGTAACTAATTATGTTTAAATTTTACATCAAAAAGACTATAATTTAATAAAGTTTTTGCCCACAAGTTTTATTTTAGTACGGAATAACATTTTAGGAGTAACGTCGAAAAAAAGAACTTCCATTAAAAATGCTGAGTTATATGACCAACCATTGAGATTAAACTCCAAGGGTGGGTGTTACAGTTACATTTGTGCTGAAGAGACACTCACATAGGACTAGGCATGGACTCGGGTCGGTCTTGACCGGGCTTTTTTATGGATTCTTGAGGCCCAGAACCGGCCCGGGTAGCTACCAGGTCCGGTTCGGGCCGGACCAAGCCTCAGACTGGCTACCTATTTGTATTTTCTAATTACTTCCTACCCCCCACCCCACACCCCAAACCCCTCCAAAACACCCAGCCCAACCCATATACATCCCAAAGATTTTGAAAAAAAAAATATTGGCCCGGCCCGGGTCGGTTCATTTTTTTTGAGACCCGGAGCCCGCCCCAAAACAGTACCAGGCCGGGTGGCCCGAACCAGGCATGGACCCGGGTACCGGGCCGGGTCAAAACAGTACCATGCCGGGCCGGTTACGGGCCGGTTGACCCGGCCCGAGTCCATCCCTACATAGAACACAACAAAATGTTATTCCATTAAAACATAGGATACTGACATTGAGGTATAATTATAAATATTGAAGAAATAAGGACTTATTTGCTAATATATGTCAATATACAAGAATACTTTATATGGATAAAATTATTTATGTGAAAAATATTATTGCTAAAGGTTTTTACTTTAAAGTGATATACTCCGTATTATAGAACATTAAGATAAAAAATTCCTATTAATAGTTAACTCCACACATGCGATACAAGTAATTGAAGCATAGTGAATTATTGGATCCAATGATATGAACACAATGTTATTTTTATATTTTGATTTTTGACAATTTTGATTTTGAATTAATAGGTAACACAAGATACACAAGCATTTTTTGTGTGGACACGTGTATCTTATTTTAGATAAATTCTGTCATTCTGACATGAAAAAGAAGGCATAGTTAACCCGCTCTGACTTTCAAATTCGGTTTAGAATCAAACTAATGAACTACGGAGTATATATCCATCTAAACCGTATAAGTTCAGTGTAAGCTGATACTCTGGACTTTCTTCCATTTGACCATTCATTATATTGATGCTACAGTACTTTCAACTTAGTTTCCCAACACTCAGCTACAAAAGCACAAACAGCATAGCAGCATTGTGCAACGGTGACTCGGTGAGTTTTCCAAATAAATTAAAGCCTACGACACCTATAAGAAACTAGTACCAAGTACCTATTACCTGTCCACCATACATTGGACGGAAAAAAACTTCACAAAAGTAGCCCGGTGTAAAAAACAAAGAATAATGTTTAAAGGCTTTATCGCTATACAATTTCGTTCAAGTGCTCTTGCAAGAGTAGTACATGTTTGTGTGTGGGTGGGGGTTACCTGAACCTGGGACGCTTTGGTGGGCCAGCACTACTGCTGGGGCCTCCCCCCCTTGACTTGCCAAACGTCTTTTTCCTTCGTCGCCTCTCATCCTCGCTGTCTGATTCATCACCTTTCTCCCTATCTGCATAGCTTGCTTCCTTCTCCAACTCATCCCATGTTTTCCCTTTATCTTCCTCTGACTCCACCATCTCATCGTCTACATTGTCGTCAGACTCCACCAAAGATGCGCTTGACTCCTCAGCCTCAGAATCTGATTCAGGTTCATTATCTGTAGGCTCGAACTCTGCATCCGAATCCTCAGTGTCGTCAGTTTCAGAGTCACTCCCCTCCAAGTTCAAGAATTCCCAGCCGCCTTCGTCAATGAATCTCTGTGGATCATCTATGATTGTTTTCAATATAGGGCGCCAGTTCAGGTTAAGCTTGCTCTCGTAGTACTTGATGTCGGTTGTGTCAAGCCACTCTTTGATTCCGTCAAGTGAGGATATAGGAATTGAATCTATACGCATTACATCACGCTTGAAGTCCTTGAAAACAATTGCCATGTCGAAGTTCTTCTGTCCAAAACCCGCCCTCTCCAAGTTGACAATCTCTATCTCACCAAGGGTGATAACCAGGAACGGCATCTCTATCAGCTCAACCAAACAGCTTGACGTCGGAACTATGAAGGCTGATGATTTGTAGGGAACTCCGTGAAACCCAAGCTCCCTCAGCGGTTGATCGAATTCCAGGTCAAGACCCTTGAACTGGGGTTGGGTCCAAATATCATTTACTCGGTTCACGAAGTTCTGGAAATCCATGTTAATTTTGTTCTTCCGGTCCCTCTCCCTCTGTTCTTCTTCAATCTCGTCTGGGTCATACGCAGACCTCTTTCCACCGCCAAGGGTTTGGACGACGTCCATCACCTCAACATAGAACTGCACGTCTTTAGTTTTCTTGTTCCCCACCATTATGTGGTTGTGAAGATGAAAATGAAGAAGAGTGATCATTTCTTTCTCTGCTGGCTGAAAAAATGCATGCTTCACATTTCCATACATTATATCAACGCGTTCATCCTGTCTCGTGGTCGAATATCGGAAACCATTCACATGAGCTTCCAGGGTGCCGGGGAGCTTTCTAGCACGGCCACCAAAAACGGGACGGATCCACAAATCAGGCAACCTGACCGGCTTAAATTTATTTCCAGCCACTACAAGTTTCTCTTGAGTGACCAGAGTGGCTCTCTCAGCCCTTTCAGACTCCCTCGCCATAACATTGCGTCTAAGTGTTTTAATCTGCTGGTTCACTTCATTTATATGCCGCGAATCCTTAGAACGATAAGAAACCTCTTTCAGATAAATAGCCGATTGATTCTTGGACACATTCGCATCACTTGATGCAAAAGGCATGCCTGGAACATTGAAGATGATTCTAATGTAAGAGTTGCGGTTACTGTCATACTGACTGGTCACTGTCTTCACAGTAGAGATGTGGAAAGGCACCAAGCTTCCATAAATAGGTAGAAGGAGAGCTTCATTCTTCTGGTCAACCTGAACCATCATTTCTTTAGGAGTTGGTGGTAGATCATTGACATTCTTGTAGGCTACAAGTTCACTTGAAGCACGAACAGCAGACCGTCTATCTCCATTGACCACACCTTCACCGGCAAGACGTCTAGCAGTTTCCTCATTCTTCTGCCGAGCAAGTTCTGCTTGGTGCTGCCTCCGCAGCTCTTCTTTAGATATCTCTTGATTGTCTGAGCGAAGTGTTGCCTTTGAATGTAAGGCTTCCTTGCTAATGGACTCAGCTTTGACTTTAAGCTTCTCTTCCTCTTCACCCTCATTGAATGTGTATGCAACCTCCTTGAGAGCTTTGGAGATTAGTTTGGTTACCACCTCATGGCCTTCGCTTGTGAGGATCACCGTGTCTGCAAGCAGAAGTGAGAAGTTCCTACTCTTGGGTTTGCTGGTTTCAGCCTTCACGTTCTGAAAACCCAATGACACATTAAACACCATCCCTGCTTTCAGCTCTTTATCATTTTTCGCATTGAGCAGCAACCCCGACTCTCGGAACTCCAGACCAATTCCAGTGCCTGCCGTTTTTGTTAAGTTGCCAACCAGTTCAGGAGCATCCCTCTCAACCACAGCAAGTGCTGCCTGATAAACAGCACTGATCTTGTTGCCTGGATTCAAGGAATCAATTGCAGCCCCATGAGCTTTAAGAAGCACTTCATAAGCCTTGCTCTGCATTGGAATCGAATCAATGAGGAATGTTCTGGCAACATTTGAGCAGTAGCTGTTGTATCGAGAACCAACGGCACATATGATAACGCTGGGAGAATCGTAGTAGAGAGTTTCATCATCGCTGACCGCACTGGGTCTAAGATCAAAGTTCCCACCGCTCTGGAAGATGGGTGGGTAACATATATCAATATTATCAGACTTCAGCTTCACTTTGACTTTAGCTGGTTCAAGCATAGCCTTTTCTGTCTCATCCGTCAATGAGGAATGTGTTACTTTTTTCTCCTCATCTATGATCTTTTCAAGCTTTGGAACCACAAAGTTCTTCAGTGTGGAAGCAGTCAAATAAGCAGCTTTCTTCACATTTATAATCTCATTCTGGTCCTTTACAGCTAAAATATAAGATATTCCGTGTGTTATATCACCAAGTTGAAGTCCAGATTTCTTTAACTTGTTAGCCCATGTCTCAATGAGTTTCCCCTCAGGTGTCTCTCTTGCAATGTACCCAATGACAGGCGTTTTATGTTGAGTGCTGATTGAATGGAGAATAGCATCCATTTGTGTAGTCCCATCCTCATTTTTGCCTTTCACATGCATAACAATATCAGCACCCACGGCCTCTTGAACAGTTTCTGACACAACTTCAAGTAACGTTGCTTTCTTTTGGCTACATATAAAATGGATCTGCTTTTCTCCGAAAATCATAATCGTTTCTGGAAACTCATATCCAAGCAACCAAATGTTCATGGCTGAAGATTTCAAGTATCTCAAGTCCTCAGAAGGAGGAGGTGTTGCTATAGCTAGAACATCAGAGGAACCCCAAATATCATCTCTATGTTCACGCCAGTGTGCATATAGTGCCATAAGCCGCCTACTAAAGGTATCCAAATCAATATTATAGCCACCCCCGGAAGGTGTGTGCCCATTGGCAGGAGGACCACTTCCCTTGGGTTGTTCTGGCATGACTAGCCTGCATAAATAAGAAATGCCAATTAGTTTAATCTACAACAAACACTACTTGAAGATTTGCCAATACAACTTTTAATTAACAAGAATGCTTGAAACCCCAACCTAAGGACAGAGAGGTGAATCTAGTGATTCATCATCTGCACACTGTATATGCAACCTCATAATATATAGTCATCACATTAAATTTTTCAAGTTTTGCAGTCACATGAATAAGTTGAACTAGTAACCATGCTCCAGAAAGGGAAACTTGCAATATTGGATTTAGTAGTATGATGATAATTAGAATAATAATTGTAAAAATGATGCAATAGGCGTCTGCATCACTAAGCAAGCAATGAAGTGGGTCTTTGAAAAACTCCACAGAAGTTTCACGATAAAACAATGTGTATCAATAAAAACAATTACATCCACATTGATGAGAACAGGAAACCCTAAAAAATTTATGCTTGCTAATGCATAAAAATAATATCGTTTACTCTTTGAACACAGACATACAATCGGAACCTAACATTTTACACTAGGGCGGGACAGAAAATCAAAGTATATATAATAACCTAAATTACAACCAAAATTTACGTAGTATATAACATTTTTATGAGTCTTAATCAAATACGGAGTAAGAAAATTATATTTTAGAGAATCCATATGAATTAACCACAAACATATATCATATCACCATTTGAATATATCATATGGTAATACCAGCAATGAAATCAACAAATACCAACAACAAAAAAAGACGAAGCTAATGCCAAAAAAAGGAATCTATGAACTATCCAAGCATTAAACAATTAAAACCAATTCTAATTTGTTAAAACCATAATATAAAGGAAAAGACAGAAAAAAAAAAGAAAATGAATTATAGAAGTATCAAACAACTAAAGCCTTTTTCCGAACTGACGAAACAACAGGAGGAACCGTCTGGTCCGGTTCTACAATAAACTCTCTTTACTAAAACGTCTGGGGAATATCCTGAAACTCCTAAAGCTAACCCAATGCTGGAATAACGCCTTTTACCTGAAGCTAGTCCGCCTAGTCGAAAGTTTATCCTAAGCGAATTACCGGCGTCGCGGTGCAGATGATGAAGAACGCGCGGCCTCTTCTAATTTTTGGATCTGCATATTAAGAGGAGGCAATTTGACGGGAAGAAGAGGGTATCTCCTTCACTGCTCGATCATGTACAAGTGTATATGTACACAAAAATGTGTATGTATGCATGTCAAATTCTACCTTTTTCTAAATAAATTATTTTTATTCTGCCTTTTTCTAAATAAATTTTCTTTGTACACAGGTAACTAGAGAGGTTTTATGTACGGTTTGTGTACAACTCATGTACACTAAGCATTTTCCATATTATATAGTGCGGTCAATGTCCGGGCCGCAAGGACGGGTCCATATGGCTATTTATACACGCCTCCCCATGAGCAAATTATACGGTCTCGTACATCCGAGTATTTTTGAAATTATTATCAACTTCTCCTAGTCTATCGTCTGCGTCTGCGCTGCCCCGATTTCTTCTCCCAGGCCATTGTCGAGTCCGCATCTCAGCTGCGCTCATTGGTTTAACCTTTTCCGTTTTTATTTTTTTGCTTTTCTGTTTCCTTGCTTTTCCGATTTGGTGCTGCAAATCTATTACACGTTTTTCTCTTTTGTCTTTTCTATTCTTCTTTTCTTGCTTTTACGTTTTTCCTTCTTTAGTTCTTTCTTCTTTTTTTTGATAACGCTCAAATTGGACACTATAGTTTCATGAGAATCTCATATTGGACACTAAGGTTTTAAATGAATCAAATTGAACACTATGGTTACATATGTATCTCATATTGGACACTGAAATTTCATAATTCATATTTTTTGGACACTCACTTATGATTCTCTTCTTCCTTTAATAAAAGTCGATAGTCTTACATTTCATTTCCTTTTTGGTGAAAGTAAATCAATTTAATTGCATATATAATTTTGGAATATATAATTTGAAGTCTTAGAATATATAATTTGATTATAATTAATAACTTCTTTGATTTAACAATTAAAAAATATATTTAGGACTTTTCATTCATATGATTTTTATGGAACTTTAATAAATATCGATTTGTTAAATTGATTTAAAAATATTAAAGAATTCAATTACATTATAATAGATTTTCTTAATTGGAGCATCTAATTATATATTCTAAATCTAAATACACAAATTAAGTTATTTTTATTTCTTATGTACATAAAACCAGGAGAAAAAGGAATACTTATATCTTTCAAGGTGAAAATCTTTATGGGTGTCCGAAAATGATCAGAAAAACGTAAAATTTGATCAATTTGAAACTTCAGTGTCCAATATGAGACACACAAGTAACCATAGTGTCCAATTTGGTCCATTTGAAACCTTAGTGTCCAATATGAGATTCTCAAACAACCATAGTGTCCAATTTGACCCTTATCCCTTTTTTTATTTTAATCTTTATTCAATTATGATGGAGTATATGGGTCTAGACCCCAGGACCCACATACTCAGAAGAACGAAAGACACGGCTGTCACGCAGTGGGGCCTTCGTCGGCCAGATGGCCCTCCATTGGCCAGAAAGACATCAACTCATAACATGGTCCAGAAACCAGTAGAATCGGGTGTCCCCGTCGACCGGGTCTCCGTCGGCCAGACCCTCATCGGCCACAGAGAGCTTCCAGAACCGGACTCCACACTTAATTACTTCTACATATTTTGTACTCAGTCCAATAGTGGCGCAATTGTAAACGGGCCTCCCAAGCCCAAGACTTGGGAGCCCAGCCCTAATTTCCTATATAAATACTCCCCTTGGGAGTAGTTGTAGGGGTTCACAAATCATTAATATCAAGCATTTATAGCACTTCTCTCTCTAGCTCTCACTTCTCTCTAGGAGTTAATACTCCATCATTTGGTGCTTTCATTGAGAGCTAGAACAATCAAGTTAGCCTCCTTCGTCGCTACCAAGCATAGCTAACTGATCATGGGAAGAACTAAGTCCAACCGCAACCTCCTCGGCAAAACAATCCCTGAGGCCCAAGAGAACAGGGAACATGAGGAGGACGCTACGGCCGACTAGGCCGCGAGTCAGGATGTTTTCCAGGAGGCCATCGACCTCACGAATGACCTTCGCCATCAGTTCAACGGCAGCGCCCCCGATGCCCGCCTCGGTCTGGACAAGAAGCGCCTGGAGAAGGGCGACAATGCCTCAGGGCAGCCGGCTTCTCCTGCCGTTGACCCTCAGCCATCATCGCCAGTCTGGCCCAGAACCCCACCATCCTTAGTGCACTCATGCAAAGGACTGGGGAGAACACTACACAACCTCCTCAGCCCCAGACGTTGGCCATCAAGCTAGGCAATGACGAAGGGGTGGTGCCCCAGGACACGTCGTCGTCCCACTCCCACCCTGCTTCCCCACTTCGAGCTGGACCGACCCCAGCGCGTGGAAAAGCCTCAGCCTTTAATAGGCTAGGTGACACGTGTCGTCGACCTGCTTCGGAGAGGATGGCGGGACAGATTGGTGAACGTGAGCTTGGCTCACCGAGGGAAAGCTTGGGTCCGTATCCCGGACAGTGGATCGGCCCCGCCTGGATAAAGGCAGGGGAGGGTTGCACGCAGATGATGCGCGCCATCGAATCAACACGGCTCACGAAGCCCGCGTGCGCAACCAGCAAGGCGCCACCATGGCCGCCAAGGACCCTCGGGACGAGGTGATCGCCCAGCTAGAGTGGAGGCTCGCTCAGATGGAGGCCAAACAGCTGGCCGCCACCCCCACGGGCAACTCATCCAGGGATCTCGGTTTCAAAGCCCTCCTACATAAGGTCAGCATCCTTGAGAGGGAGTTGGCCGAAGGACGAGGAGACCCTATCGTCCAAGTCAGGACGAGGACTCCCTTCACTTCCAGGGTACTCTCGGCCCCTATCCCCGAGAAGTACAAGGGAAATGCCATCAATCCCTATGACGGCCGCTCCGACCCCCAGGAGCACTTCAGCCGCTATCAAAACAACATGCTGATGGTGAACGCGTCGGATGAATACCTCTGCCGTTGGTTCCTTTCCACTCTGGAAGGGCCAACGTATGAGTGGTTCAACGCGCTCCCCGAAGGAAGCATAGACTCATGGCAGGATCTTGCCCAATGCTTCTCACTCACTTCGCTGGGAGGAAGCGCGTGAAGAAATATTTCACCCATCTCCTCTCCGTCAAGCAGCAACATGACGAATCACTCCGGTCGTTCATCGACCGATGGACGAGGGAGACCGATGAGGTCGAGGGGGCCGATGAGTGCACCCTCCTTTTCCTTTTCCAGGGCGCCCTCCGCAGCACCCCATATGCAAGGAGTCTTATCACTGACCCTCCAAGGTCCTATACGAAGGCGCTCCAGCGAGGGAACTTATACGCTGACGCCGACGAACTCCACAGCCACAAGAAGGACGGAGGGCACCCCTCCAAGAAGACAAACACTGCGCCAACTCGAGGCGCATCCTTGGCCGGGGACCGAGGTCAAGGAGGACAGAGCCGCCATGGGTCTGGCGGACAGAACAAGAAGGACCACCCATGGCGGTCGAGGATGGAAAGGCCGAAGACCCCCCTCACTCATTAGGTCAGCTCCATCCTCGATTATGCCGAGGAACATGATCTCATTGAACGGGATCCTCGGTCGGCGAAGGAAATCCACGTCATCCATCAGGGCGATACCTACTACCGTTACCACAGGAATACCTCCCACAACACGGACGACTGCGTCACGCTGAAGAGAGCCATTGAGAAGCTAATTCGCTAGGGGAACTCTCCCAATTTGTTAAAGGTGGTCCACGCAAAAATATGTGGGTAAACACCGGCAAAAATGGGAGCGAACCCTCTACAAAGAAGCGTGATATCAGCAGACTCAGCGATGACGATGAAGACTTTGAGGAGCCCCCTCCGAAGAAGAACCACATCCATCTCATCGTGGGGGGCAACACTGGGGGGGGGGGGGGGGACTGGCCACCCAGAGGAAGAAATGGGCCCAATCCATTTACATTGGGGAGGTGTCCCACGCTCCCCCCCAGCCGAAGAAGCAGCGAACGAAGGCGATCACCTTCACCGACAAGGATCTGCCTCCAGGCCCCGCATCACACAGGGACGCCCTCGTCATCCGATGCGAGATAGGTAACTCAATCATCCACCGCACTTACATCAACACGGGGAGCTCCGTCAATGTCATGTACCTGGACACTTTCAAGCAGCTGAACTTAGACATGGCATTACTCAAGCCGATACAGACACTGTTGTCCGGCTTCACCGGGGAATCTATCGACACCGAGGGCACGATAGTCCTCCCCGTGGAATTCAGCGACGGCTCCCATCGCGCCAAGATTGACATGGAGTTTATGGTGGTCAACCTCGAGTGCGCCCATAACCTGATCTGGGGGCGGCCGACACTAGAGGACCGCGAGGCCATCATCTCCATGAAGCACCTGTGCCTGAAGTTCCCTACCAGTGGCGGTATCAGCTACGCCAGGGGGAACCAGAGGATAGCCAGAGCATGCTACCTCAAACTTACAAAGTCGACCGCAGGCACGGAGCAAAGGGTAGACACTATCACCGCCACCATCGCCAAGGACGAGGAGAGGCCGCATGCTGAGCCAACCGAAGAAGTCGAGGAGGTCCCCCTGGACACTTCTCGGCGGGAACGAGTCCTGAAAATTGGGAGACAACTCCCCCGGGACCAACACGACGGCATCCTCCAAGTCCTGCGGTCATATGCAATCATTTTCGCGTGGGGCCAGACGACATGCCAGGCATCAGCCGAAAGATGATCACTCACCGGCTGTCAGTCGATCCCGCCTCCACGCCAGGCAAGCAGAAGCGGCGTTACCTCTCGGCCGAAAGACGGGACTTTGTCAAAGGGGAAGTCACCATGCTCCTTTCCATCAGGCACATTAAAGAGGTGAAATACCCGACGTGGCTGGCCAACGTCGTCCTTTCCCAGAAGCCGCTGACGTTCAGGATGTGTGTTGATTAAAATGATCTGAACAAGGCGTGCCCCCATGGACCCGTTCCTTCTCCCCAATATTGATCAGCTGGTGGATGAGACGGCGGGTTGTGAGTTGATGTCATTATTGATGCCTTCAGAGGGTACCACCAGATCTTCATTCATGAAGATGACGCCGAGAAGATGGCCTTCATGACCTCGGAGGGAATTTTCTGCTACCTCCTC